GCTGGAGCTGGAGCTGGAGCTGGAGCTGGTGCTGGTGCTGGTGCTGGAGCTGGCGCTGGCCCAACACTGGGAGAACTTATTATATTCTTAACAGATTTCTAACAACTTTCTTATAAAGCAGAGGTCTTAGAAAAGAATTAGATTATAGACCTTTAAAATAAGATTTAAGATAATCTGAAGCAAGTAATTATTCTTTATAGATATATATTAATTTAGGAAATATTTACAAACTTAATATATACTAATATAAATAATTAATACATTATGTTAAATAAACTAGCAGCTAGCGTTAATATACTAATAAAACCTTTAGTTTCTAGTACTTGTTAAGCTACTAGTAAATTAGTAGCAGAGAAGAAGAAGCTAATAATTAAGCTATAACTTTAGTGAGACATATTTAATTATACTAAAATCGAATTATCTCTCTATTGATTATTAGCTTTTTAGTATAGTTTAAGTTAAAACTCATTCAGTTATAGCTGTTTTAAAACATAGGTAGTCAAATCTAAGAACTGCCAAAAAATTTGGCGTCAAGCTTCGGGCCGACAACTCTGATAGGGAGTGGAGCGGCCGATTGTGGTGGAGAATAGTGAAAGATGCGATGAGTATGCGTGGCAGGTAATACTCGAGGAGTTGTCAGTCTGCTGGAGGCGAAGACGTGTCTGATAATATCCTTCGCATTGTTTGCTGGCAAGGTTGAAGAGAGATCTCAGGCTCGTGTTTGGAGTGGGTAGACAAAAGACGACGCTTTAAAGTTCACCGCGGGCAATTAGAGTCACATTTCAGGCTTGTGGGACTGCTCCAACTCATCAGGTTGGACCACACATCTACTTAAATAACACAACGCCAATTCGGACCGAATTCTTTACTACTGGGTCGACATGAACGGCATGAAGCGAGGATGACACAAATCTGCTCTCTTGTTCCCTTAAGGATTGCGAACGAGCAGTGCAGAATGCTTGTTGCCTAACTACTTGCCACGATGCTTTTGTAATCCACTACAAGAACACACTCGAGCAGCGGACAGCGGTTGCCTTGAAGTAACGATGCGACAGCGTACCGCCGACGGACGACACGATGAATCTCTGCGCTCTCTGTCGGTCCATTCCTTTCGAAAGACTTCCTCAATTGCCCTCGGATTGGGAGTGTATTATCAACCGGAGGGAGCTGCCGTCTTTTGTCTTCAACTCAAGCCTCTCTTCCGCACTGGACGTACCCATTGGCTTCAGATACCACAGCAGCCTTGAGGACCTTGCAGCATCTGCTGGTGGCTGCAGGCTCTGCGACTTACTTAACGACTCGGTTAGCGGATTTTCCGCTTCTTACCGTAAGGCGGAGAACGACCCATTGTTTGCGTACTATGAGGACGCACACTTGGGACTCCCGTCTAACTTTCAGTTCTGGCTAACAAAACGCATCAATGGTGGAGATGGGTTCTTGGTCCTTGTTCGTGCGCGACGGGAAGGTATCATTTATCTTGTTGGCGCCGTTGGGTTTTGCGTCAAAGAGGGTATGTCGTGGGATGTGTAAAGCTGAAACTCAACTTGCTCTAACGAGTGATTTCAGATAGCGCGCTGGCATCTTTGTACAAAGGGCGGCCAGTCGAAGAGGATGGAGGCTCTCCAACAACCCTTGACCGAGCCGCAGCTTGGGTGCAAAATTGTGTGAGGAACCATGAAGACTGTCAAGCTGGTGGTAGTATTCCATTGCCGTCGCGCTTACTTGACCTGGAGAGCTGTACAAACCAGAAAGAAATAAGGCTGCGGGGTACTGGAGGCATTCATGGTCGCTACGCCGCGTTGAGCCACTGTTGAGGACGTACGGGACATTTCATTCCCTTTCGCGCTTCAATAGCTGCCAGAAAGGAGGCAATCAAGATTGAAGAGCTCCCGAAAACGTTTCAAGATGCAGTGTACACTGTTAGAAAATGGGGATACGATATCTCTGGATTGACTCACTCTGTATCTGCCAGGACGACCTTGAAGACTGGGCACGAGAATCCGCCAATATGGCCGCAGTGTACTCAAATGCTCACTTGACCATCGCTGCTGCTCACGCCACAGATAGTTCCGCTGGTTGTTTTAACCGACGAAAAGGGCGACGCCACATCCCAGTTGACTACATCACGCAAGATGGCACGAGTGGGCAACTCCTGGCCTTCCTCGTGTCGACTGACAAGGAAGCAGCCAGCAGGTTGTACATCGAGATGAGCCATGAGCCGTTGACTAAGCGTGCATGGGCGCTGCAAGAGCGTTTGTTGGGGCAACGCATCCTTCATGATGGTACAGATCAGATGTACTATGAATGCAATCATGAGTTCGTCAGTGAAGATGGTTTCCGTGACGCCGGACGGTACTGCAATCTGTTTGGAGCAACTGACTCTGGACGGGTTGGTCGCAGATCCCAACACTCTGATGAACATGCATTCTGGTATCATCTGCTGTGGTACTACGGCAGCAGAAGACTGAGCAATCCTTCAGATAAGCTGCCTGCCATGTCAGGATTGGCACGGATATTCGAGTCACGCGTTCAAGCCTCCTATGTGGCCGGCTTATGGAGCAATGCGTTGATCGAAGGCCTCGCATGGCAGGGAGTGCGGTCAACCAAGGATCCAACGACTTCTACATCACAAGCTTACATTGCTCCGGCCTGGTCGTGGGCGTCGTATGATGGGATTGCCGCCACGGGACAAGGTAAGGAATGGAAAGATATCGCGAAGGTTCTTGACTATCACATCAAACTCAAGACCTCAAACCCGTACGGCGAGTTGGAGGAAGGGTGGATCATGATCAGGGCGCCATTGGTCCGGGTTAGTCTTAGCGACGAGCCCGAAAAGACGCGGACAAGGTACCACACAGGTGGAACATGAGGCTGAAGACTGCTGGGGGCGATCCCGTTTGGCACATATGCAAGCTTTGACAACATAAACAGCAACGACGATGCAGCGAGGGAGCTCGTGAAAAGACTCGAGCTTTTCGCGCTAGTGCTTCAACGATGGGACAAGGAAAAGAACGTGCTGGAGAAGAGCGAACAGTGGGGCAAGGGAAAAAGTGAAGAAGAGAGGCAGGAGAATAGAGAAGAGAAAGATGATGTTGAGAAGGGAGCGCAGGAAGAGGGTGGAGAAGACCAAGAAGCATGGAATCAAGGTAGTGGTGGTGATGACTGCTATGACTACTTCACATGGCACTCGTTTGTGTCGGTCCGAGCAGCGATAGCAGGCAAATGGACGAATAGGTTGTGTGGGCCGCAGCGCGACAGTAAAGGATCTAAATGGGAGCAAATTACAGGCGCACTTCCCTCCACAACCAATGCTTCTTATCATTAAGATAACCTTCCACTTTCTTCAGGCTTAATCACAATATCACTAGATAAAAGCTTGCCTCGAGCTCGACAGTAGCCTCTTTACGCAAGTGATCACTGTTGCAATGCCCCAGCCCCGCGGAATAATGGGACACCCGTGTGGTCCTATTGCTCCTCGGCCGGTTTGTTCCCCTGTAGATGTCTGCCAATGGCACGCTAATGTTGGTGATAACCAGATCCAAAATGCTCAAGCTCAATCCGTTTCATAGATTTCTAGTTATATGTTGCTCTCTTCCGAAGCCCAGTGGCAAGAACGACTTCAACGGTGGGAGAGTTCTTAGAGTCTGCAGCTGGCGCTGGAGCTGGAGCTGGAGCTGGAGCTGGTGCTGGTGCTGGTGCTGGAGCTGGCGCTGGCCCAACACTGGGAGAAAGCTCTGCAATTATGTTCGACCTTCTTTTGGGGGACCACCTCATGAGTGTCAGGCCTTTCCATTCGACCAGCACCATACACACAAATGCGCACATTTGAAGGACAAGACAGCTAGCATACAATGCGGGGTAGAGCTTACGGATATTTGGCTCGAACGTCAGCGCAACCTTGGCTTCCTTTCTGCCACGCGTTAACCGACCACTCCAGCACAAGCATGAGTTGAACAACCCACCACTAGATGCGAAGAGCAGGATCAAGCTAGGAGCCGCGATCAAAAAGTCCTTGATTATGGTCAACCGCCAGTGCCAGCGCCCACTGAGATGTTTCGATCTGCTCCGCCAAGTGATCAAGGTACTCCCGAAGTAGGCAACGCTGATTACGAAAAGAACAAACCAGCGGCAATTCACACCAGACGGGGGGAGGTGCCAGATTATAGCCAGGGCGATCACAGTTGAGACGACTATGGGACATATAGCGAGGAGAAAGAGAACCCAGCGTGGATGATCGCCTGAAAGCCTGCTGTTGAATATGGCCTTTTTGGGCCGAAAAGTGTAGATGGCCCCAGACCAGGGACGGGACTCGAAGTATCGTTTAGCTATATCGTCATACGATTCGGCTTCATCCCTGTCGTCGTGTGATTCGGTGCTATGTAAAAGTGTGAGCAGATCCCGTCCTTCAGGCAGATGCTTCTGGATAATGCCGAAACAGGTGTAGATCGATGGAAAGCTCCCCACGAGGTTACTCAGTAAAACTGCCGGCAGAATATAGGTGAGGAACATGGAGATGCCAATCCGTCCACCGGGAGGTGAAGTGGCACTTCCGCCTAGCCTTGTAACGAAGGCGCATGCAACTTGATAGAAGTAGAGAGAAACTGCTAGGCTGGTTCGGAAAATCGCGTCCGTTCTGCTATTTGCCAGCTCGTGCGCCACGCGGGTCCGGAATCTCTCCTGATCACATTCAGACATACCTTCGGATAGCATGGTATAGATATGGCGAGGGTCAGTACCCTCGTTTGTAACCTCTTCAATCCCTCCTAAGACAGTTCCGTAGACTCTCACGAATTCGCTTCGTTTATGATCTTCGTCAGTCATCGAATGTCCTATCTTGCCATACGAAATCTTCGAAATCAGGTACCACACATGCATTTGCCACCCTCTTCGTCGTCTCCTCACCCGCCCCATCCATACTTCTGGACGTACGTTGGCATCGTTGGGCATTGGGTGGGTACGGTTCCATTCACTTTCTGCTATTCTCCGGCACTGACTCCAGGCTTCCAACTTTAACAGCAGACAATAGATTGAGTCGATCGGATCGCCAAGTAGATGGACGACGACCCGGTACGTCCTCTTTCCCAGAGGTGTGACATCCATCTGGCTAACTAGGATGAGAACAGGTATAAGCCAGATGTTAAGGATTGGTCCAATGTCAGGATACCATGTACTTCCTTTTCCGCAGTAGGTTTCACAAGCGCCAAGTGTCAATACCGGTGACTCTGTAGTGGAGGTTGGATGGAAGATATTGCTGTCATGGAGAGATACAGTATGATTTCCTAGTGCCCAGGTGATGTCCGCTTTGCACGAGTCCCAGGGCAATGCCACGGTTGCAGTCGAAAGAGCAGCCGTAAGCACAGCGGTGGTGAGGTATCTGCATCTTCCGTGGCGGACCATGATTGGTAGGTCTGGCTATACTGGCCGAAAAGTGAGAGAAATTTCAGGAATTGCAGATGAGTCCTCCTGAATCAACGCGAAGAGCAGTGCGACTCTGAGAATTTCTGTTACAACACGACATCATATATTGCTTGGCCAATGCCTTGTGGATAAGGGGTGTCATGTCAACCGATGTGACAACTCTTTGGAGGCTTACAGATACACCCTGGTCGATTTTCGGCAGTGAGGCTCGATTTTAGAAGAGGCTTACAGCCGGTAGTGAGGTGCACAGCCAGGAAGGGCTTCGTTGGAAAATACCTTAGGTGTTGACAAGGTTTTCATTTGTGGATTGATATTAACAACGCCTTCTCGTGGATACCATCAGTTCCAGATTGGTGCTACCGTCATGCTCCTTTAATGTGGCAGTAAATAGTCGACGCCTTCTTATTATATCCCATCTCCATTCGTACAAAAGTTGTTAAAATCTGCCGTGCTGCTATTACTACATAAGAGGCAGGGCAGAAAATGACGAATTTGGGAGGCACTGTACGCTTTTTCTTGGAGGGTTGTAACGTGCAGAAACTAAGCTAACTAATTAGGAAAATCCCCTCTTGGCTTGTAAGCATAGAGTTAAAGTGCCAAGAGCACCACAGCACCACAGCCCGCTCGCCAGGTACGAGATTTTGGCACAAATTTTCATTTCCACCTTCCGTACTCGGGGGCCTGAAGCGCGCCTTCAGGGTTATTATGCAGCGCGCCTAATACTTGCTTAGAAAACTTTGGTGATAATGGCGTTTGGCGCTTTACCGACAGAAAACTTTCTAAGCTCTTAAATAAGGTCCAATTTTTGGGACTTCCCTTCGCTTTAAGAGACCTATCTTTGGCCGGACTCATACTACGTGGCTGGCATGTGCCTAGTGTCCGTTTTCCACTAGTACAGTCTGTAGCTAGGTGAAAATGTTCTTGATAGTTCTCACTCTCCTTAAATGTTGGGCGTAAATTGTCTAGTCCTTTTGGTTCAACTACAGTTAGCAGCTAGCTGATGCAAGCTAATTTATCTGTCAAGCGGTATCACATGGTGTCAAAGAGCGCTACATAGGCGTTTCTGTAATGTCGAAATTAACGCTGTTATTGCTACTATCTCAAGGCGAATTCGATAGAAACAGGAGAGTAGCATAGGGACCGCTCAGTAGCATAGGGAATCCCTATGGCCATGTGTCAAGATGTACGGCACGTTCTGATTGGTTGAATTCTGTCGGCCACTTCTATGTGTAACTTCCGCTCGTTGAGCGGTCCCTATGCTACTACTAGTAGTACTGAGCGGTACAAAGGGGCTGAGGGGCAGCAGGCTTGGCTGACACACTGATAGAATAAAGTAAGCAGCTGCAGCCGAGTCCTGGCGCCCAAAAGTGGGTCCTTCGGTCCCACTTGGACCAAAACCGGGTCTTCCCAACTCCTTAGTCCTCAGAGCTCAGCTCAGTCTCGACTCAGGTTAAAGCAGCGCCGCTCAGGATGGAGGCCGTAGCTGGAACTAGGGAAAAAATCTTATGTCAGACTATCAGGGTATTGTACCACAATATTTTTTTTTAGTGAAGTTCCATCTGGTTAGTCAGCATGCCGCCTCTGCTCAGGCGCTATCCATCCTCGGCTCATCCTCGGCGCAGCTTGCTCACCCACTTGCTCAGGCTGCTCAGGTTGCTCAGGTCTTGCTCAGTCACCTTTTCCTTCCGCCCCTACAAGCCAATCATGCATCGTGGTCTCATCGTCGTGTCATGTCTTTTCCAGTCAAGTTTAGACGACGATACTCAGGGGGCCCAGTTTATGGACTTGGGGCCCAAAATCGGTCCCATCATCCAACACGCCTCCACTCCCGTTCGCATTGCCGGTAGGTCTTCGAGAGATGAAGGATTCTCCCGTTGCTTGGTGACTCGCTCTTTGAAATGTTTCTCTCTTCCTCTCTGCTAGTTTCACTTGACTTTTAAGAATACCTCTTTCTCTTAATCTGTTTAGCTTAGATTGTTTCTCCTGTTTCTTATTACTAGTTTAGTCCTTTTCTGTTGCCATCCTTATTGCTTTCTTACTCTTAATGCTAAAGCCGAATTTAGCAAAGGCATTATTTAGGCAGGCCTATTAGAAAGACTTTAAAAATAACAAAGATATCATTAATAATAAAGAAATTAAAAAAGAGCTTTAGCCTAAAATAAAGAGTAATTACTATCAGACTTTAATATTATAGTATTAGTAAATTTATTAATTAGTAACTAAGAAGGTATTATTTTCTAACTCTTATTTCTTTATTTTATAAATATATAGTTAAATACTTAAATATTACTCTAAATAGCATTACAATATTAAAAGACTTTATAAGAAATGTCGCCTTTAGGATAAAAGGCAAGTATAATAATCTTAAGACATACTTAAGTTTTATTATTTAGATATACAAAAACTTTATTACTAGCTAATAATAAGCGGGTAATAAGAAAATAAATAACAGGGTAATACTTTTTACTTTAAATGTTAATCTTTAATAGTTATTATTAGCTAATCTTGTATTATAATTTACTAATAATATATAGTTTATTAAGTATCTCTTATAAAAAAAACTTAATCTTGTTTATAAGAAGTAAGAGAGGTGTTACGTAGTAACCTGGCTAAATGCCTTGAAGGGGTATTAGAGCAGGGCTTCGCGCGCCTTAGCGCCTTACGCCTTATCCTTCTACTCCTTTATAGCTATTAAATAGCCGCAACCACTTCTTCACCACAATTATAATAGCTATATCAGAGCTCTAGTGACCAGGTAATACCCTCTATTGCTTTTATAGCAGCACTATACCCTTATTATAGAGATATCCCGTAATAAGAGATATTATAATATTATAATCTACTTTCTTTATCTTAAAATACAGCTATAGCAAAATAATTAATATATATATAAAAAGCTAGGAATTAGAATAAATATATAAGCAGAGATTTAGCTTAACATGTTTACCTTAGCAAGAGTAAGCGAATCTATAAAATTAATATGCTATATAGATTCTAGCTAAGGCCTATACTATTAGGTAAGTATTCTTTCTAATTAAGTTTATTACTAAGTAAAAGCTATTAGCTAAGTTATATTAAGTAAGATATTACTTTTGTAGTCTTTTATAATAAGCATAGAAAGGCGGAGTTTACTATACAAGTTATAAAGAATATAAAGGGCATGACTTTTATACCTAATAAAAGATAGATCTCTCTCTTAAGTTAATTTTATATTATTTCTAAGCAACTAATAATGCGGTAGGCTAGAGCACTTATTACATAAAGGGTTAAAGTCTTAATTACTTTTTTATAATTCTATACTTATACATCTCTCTATTTTTATTACAAAAAATATATTTAAAGACTATAAAATAATAAAAGAGCTCCTTAGTATTAAGCCGCCTAAAGAAGAAGAGATGTTCCACCTCTAATAAGATCCTCATGTACTTGATCTGCCCCTTTACCAGAAGGATAATAACGAGATCAACTTAGCCTGTATTTTTAATAAACGTCTTAGGGATCTAGGCCTTTGTACAAGATATTATTAGCTCTTTATAATTCATAACTTTAGAGCTAAAGAGCTACATTTAATTAGTAAGCTTTCTCTAATGCTATTTCTTATAAATTTTTATATTAAATTAAGGATGTTACTTTTATAGTCTTTTATAATAAGTATAAGAAGGCAGAGTTTACTATACAAATTATAAAGAATGTAAAAGGCATAACTTTTACGCCTAATAAAAGATGGATCTCTTTCTTAAGTTAATTTTATATCATGTCTAAGCAGCTAATAATATAGTAGGCTAAAGCACTTACTATATAAAAAGTTAGAGTCTTAATGACTTTTTTATAATTCTATACTTATTTACTTCTTGATTTTTATTATAAAGAATATATTAAAGAAGCTCCTGAGTATTAAGCCGCCTAAGAAAGAGGAAATGTTTTACCTTTAATAAGATCCTTATATATTTGACTTGCCTCTTTACTAAAAGGATAATAGCAAAATCAACTTAGCCTATATTTTTAGTAAACGTCTTAGGAATCTAGGCCTTTATATAAGATATTATTAGCTCTTTATAATCTATAACTTTAAAGTTAAAGGGCTATATCTAATTAGTAAGCTTTCTCTAATATTATTTCTTATAAATTTTTATATTAAATTAATATATAAGTAAATAAGCTTTACTTATCTACTTAAAGAAAAAAGCATAATAAATATAGAGATAAGAACATATATAATAGCTTCTATGCCCTCTAGAATTCTAGCATAAATAATTAAGGTGCCTATTTTAATAATATATTGCAAAGTATTATTAATAACTGGTTTTATGCCCTGACGCTGTCTTATAACCCTGAGTTATAGTAGTCCTTACTAGCAGAAAAGCAGAATAAGCTTAAGAATAGCCCAAAATTTATTATAATTAAAGAGGAACTATAACATATCTCTTTAAGATCTAGAGACAACCTAATAACTAGAGATTAATAAAAAAAACTATATATACAGAAAAAGAAACTTATATCTAAGGAACTCTGAAAATAATAGAAGTTATAGCTAAGAAAGCTTTTCTTTAAGGCGGACAAAAGCAACCTAACAGACTACCACTATACTTGATTTCTCTATATCTGTAGTCTGATGCTAGTCTGTCGCTGTCTAGCATCTAATGTCAAGAGAGCTATAGTTAGGCCTAATAAAGTAAATAAATATTCTGACTAGATATTCTGTTTTTATGCTATAGCAAGGCGCTAGGTATCTCTCCTTAGTTAATCAATCTATTAAGACTTAAATACTTATAGTATCAGAGAAAATGCTATTAGATTTAGGGAGGTCTGTGACAAAATCTATAGCTAGGTATTATCACTATTTCTTAGGCGGCTCTAGTGCTTGCAGTTAATCTTAGCGCTTATAAGAGGGTTTTAAATAACAGTATATAGGATATTTAGCTAGCTGTTCCTTTACTAAGTCTATTATCTTTAACTAATAGAATTATTATTACAGGATCTTATAGGTCTTTACAAGGCCTAAGTGACTAGTTATTAGCTATTTATAGTATTTATTAATATAGCAAAGTCTTAGTTCTTTATTTTTAGGAATTTATAAGCGTTATTAGTAGTATAGTTTATTATTCTCTACTAAATAGTTAGCTAATATAATTATAAAAGACCTTCTGACCCTAGACAAGACTTGTTAGTAGGTTACTTAATAAGGATCTTCTTAGGCAAGATTCTGATATGTGGTAATAATATCTTCTTCTAAAATAGTTTGAGGCTATAGGTTTATTATATATAGGGCTATAGTATTATCTATGATTACGTTAGAGTCTTCTCCTAACTTAGGTAATCTCTTATAGCAGCGTAGGATTCTTATAAGTCTAATTAGATAGACAGAAATAGGTTCTAATATCTAGGGGTCTAGATTCTTCGGTTTTAGGATTACTTACTTAAGGAACTTCTTCCTATTATCGTTAGCATTAGTAGCTTTATCTTATAGTCTGTAGAATAATTTATCTGCGCAGCATTATAACCTAGGGCGGTACTTGATTACAAAGTTAAAACAAGAGAGGAACTTACTCTAATAGGCTTGTTAGCAGGATAGTTATTTAAATAATAACTATAGCTATTAGTTCTTTGTTGTAAATCTTATAGTTACTCTTAACTAAGGCATGTTGCTTTAAGAAGTAGGCTACAGATTACAGGATCCCCTTATTATTAGGTTAAAACAGGACTCCTCTATATATATTGTCTAAGGCGTTAGTCTCTACAGTACAGGGTAAGTCAGGATCAAAGTACTATAGGACTAGGGAGCTTGTAAACATGTCTTTTAGTATCTAAAATGCTTTTTTGGCTTTCTCTCTCTAGTTAAAAGAGACGTCTTTTTAGATAAGCTTGGTCAGGGGTAAGGCTATCTTTGAGAATTCTTTAATAAATTAATAATAGAAATTCGTAAATTCTATAAAACTTTATATATCTTTTGTATTATTAGGCTTCTTTTAATTTTAAATTATAGCTATCTTCTTTAGATTTATATATATTTATCTAGGTTTATTATCTTCTAAATGGCTCTAAATAATTATTCCTAAGTATTTCATCTTATAAACTTCGAATTCGTATTTTTCTATATTAAGTTATAGTTTAATAATAGCTAATCTGCCTAGTACTGTCTTTACATATTAGTGATGCGCTATCTTCTAAACAGCTCTGAATAATTATTCCTAAGTATTTCGTCTTATAAACTTTGAATTCACATTTTCTTATATTAAGTTGTAATCTAGTAATAGCTAATCTGCCTAGTACTATCTTCACATGTTAGCAGTGCTCTTTTAGTGAGTTACTAAAGATTAGGATATTATTAAGATATACTAAGACAAATTAGTCTAGGATATCCTTTCCTAAGGCATTATTAATGTAGTTCTAAAAGGAGGCTAGAGCATTACAAAGACTAAAAGAGACTACGTTTTATTTATATAAACCTATATATATATAAAAGGCTATTTTCTATTTATCTCTATAGGCTATTCTGATTCTGTAGAAGGCAATAATAATGTCTAATTTAGTATACTACATGGCTTTACAAAGCTTATTTAGAGTCTCTTAAATTAGGGGAATTAGGTATTTGTTCTTAATTATAATAGTATTTAAACCCTAGTAATCTATATAAAACTATAGACCTCCTTTAGGTTTCTTAACAAATAAGACTAGAGCAGCAGCAAAGGACTTAAATACATGAATAAAGTTCTTTAATAAATAGTCCTTTAGTGTTTTGTTTAAGACCTCTAATTTGTTTCTAGACATGCTATATAAGGCTCCGGATAGTAATTTAGTATTTAGTAATAACTTAATCTTATAATTTACTTTAAGGCGATATAATAAAAGCTTATTAATAATAGCTTTATTAAATAAGGACAGAAACTTGTAATATTACTTAGGAAGTCTAGTCTAAGGATCTATAATTTCTTTAGATTTTAGAGCCTTCTTAATGTCTCTTAATAATATTACAAAGACTTTATAATCTCTTTACTTACTTAGGTAATTAAAGGCTATTACTCTTATTATAATTAGTGTTACAGTTATATCTATAGCTTTTATTTATTTTTAGACTTAAGGTTTATTATTCTGTACTCTTTATATAGCTTTAAAAGTAATAAAGTATCCTTTGTTTTTCTAAAGGCAATAATTATAGCAATATTTTATATTATATATAATAGTCTTTAGTACCTAATCTATTATTAGATTATATTATTTAACGTTGTTTTGTTATTGCTGCGATTATATTATTTAAGTTAGAGTATTCTAAAAATAATATTATATTTTAGTTTAAAGACAACAAATATTAATAAGACTTCTTAATAGATATCAAAAGGTATAAAAAATAAGGGAACTTTAATAATATAAGTTATTATAAAGGTCTGATTATTAAAGCCTATTATAGTTCTTTGACTTTCTAATTTTTTATAAAAGAAGAATTATACAAAAGCTTTACTAATATATATTACTATAAAATAACTAGAGTTAATTAGGACTTAATATTTAAATTATCTAATATTATACTTAATTAAAAGACACTTAGAGTTAAGAAGAAGGTCTGCTAAATATAGAGAAATAAAACCTAATTATATTATTAGGCTATCTACTATATTAGTAGTAACTAACCTCTTCTTAATCCCTTAAATATAACTTAGTTTAAGGTTACTTTATTTAATAACTTTATATTAATATAATTACTAAATAAAGAAAGAAGGGCAAGAAAGGCTAAGGCAATAGGTATAATTACTTATAAAGTTGCTAGAATAAATACCAAAGTTAAGAACGCTATAATAAGTATAAAAGAGATAGTACAAAAGTTATTCTATAGCTTTAGCTTTTCTAGGCATATATTAGCTTTGTAGTCCGGGCCTGTGTAATAATAATAAAGGCTTAGATTACGTTAACGTTCTTATTTAGCTTCGCGTTTATTAAAGGCTTTGCAGACTAAGTAATCTATGTCTATAGGATTATAGAAAATAAGGGCAGATATAACAGAATAAGCAGGGGCTAGAACTAAGATAATTAAACTTATAAGTGGCTTTTATAACTTGGTTATCTATTATAATAATATAGTATATAGTAGGTTGTCCTACTAAGTATACTCTTAAATAAAGACTTTATATAATATGTCTCTAATATTAATTATAGTCAGCTTCTTTATAAGTTCCTTAGATAATATAAGTCAGAGCAGTCTCTTAAGACTATAGTCCTAAAATAGCGTTCTTCTAGCGGTCTGCTTAAACTCTAGGTAGAATTCAGAGAAGAGTTAATACGTTTACTTTATCTTTATAAGACGGCAGATAGCAGAGTACTCTAGATTAGTATTACTAAAGTTAAGCTTTAGTTCTTTAATTAGATCTACCTAATCTAGATAGATCCCTTTGTTAATGTTATCTAAAGTGACGTCTAAGGCATAATCTATAAGTTAAGAGAATACGTAATAAATATATAATATAAGCGTGAGATATTTATTAGTATTAACTCTAAATTTTGAAGTAAGGCCTATTTTGAACCTCTCTAAGTCTTTGTAAGTATTAGGCCTTAGGCCACTAAATATAAGAACGTCTATAGTTTTTTCTGACTTTATAAGTATATGCTAGAGTTATTAATTCTGTTATAAGACTGTGACTATTACTAATAAGATCTAGGTTATTAGGCCTTAAGTCAGATCTTAGGCTAGGTGCTTAGAAGGCTAAGGAGTATAAATCAGAGCCGGACTATACGTAGGAATAGGTATGTAAGAGAGTTTTTGTAGGTTAACTATATTATTATCAAGACATATTTAGGCATTAGCTATAGCTTCTACAGATAAAAAGAACTTAAGAGAGATCTCAGACTCTTTTAAGGAGGAAAGGACATGAAACAGGATAAAAGAAAAAGAGGCAGTAGTTCTTTTACTGCTTAGACTGAGCAATAAGGAACAATGACAAAGGGAAAGTAGGTTAAGACGGACCTAAGAACCAGAAGATAAAAATAAGTGGGACGCTTCATAATGTTAGGAGAGCTATGGTTAGGCCTAATATATAAGACAAAGCGTGAAGAAAAGGAAACAAAAGTGGGAATACAACGCTTTATATACATGTCCGTGCCTCTTATTTCGCTGAGGCCAGGTACAGACAACTGTGGGTACCTGTCGTTAGTAATGGCTAGAATAGCGGCAGGGAGCTGGGTCTGAGATGAACTCTGTAAGCCATGATCAGTGCTATAGGGAATATAGTCCTTGGCGTAGGTCGCGGGAGGATTCGTAACATCTAATCTATTTATTGCTGCTCTTATCTGTAGTAATAAAGGCTATACAGTCCTTTACGACATAATTAAGCTCTATTAATAAGAGATAGAAGTAGCGTTCCGCCCAGGCTTAGAGCTAGCAAAGTGCCGCTATATAATAAAGCGGAACTAGAAGATAGACAAGTTCGTTAATTTCCTTAACCTCCTTATAAGCTTTATTATATATAAGAACATAGGCTAATTTTGCAATATAAATAAGAAGCCGGCTATATAAAGATGAAAGCACATATATAACTGTTATAAGAAGCATCTCTGCGCCTGCTATAACTCTGCAAAGCTATGCTTTTCCTGTAATAAATAGATTACTAGCCAGAAGGAATAAGAGGACTATTGCTAGGCACATCTAGATAAGCCTAAGCTAGTTCTGACTTAATGCAATCCTTTCAACTATAGCGGATGCCTTGCCTCTCTTAGATACTGCCCTTACTGTCTAGGAAATGTGAGGCTTTCTACTTCTGCATAAATGCGTTAGATTATTGACTGACCTGAATAGCAAGATCATCTTAACTAACACAATAGAAAGCTAGAAGTTAGTAAGGTGCCAGAATGTCCACATCCGCAAGCGCAATATGGCAAAGAATTCAAATCAGCACAGAAGCTGAGGTTCCATCTGCAGGATGTTCACTGTGTCAGGCTTATAAAGGGACTCAAAAGGTCTAGCGTCGAGCACGAAGCAGATTCCAAGCCCTTTAAAGTCAAGAGAGCTAGTGGCACCAACCCTCGTGGCTCAGACACGGAGACTAACGCATGTCACAAGCAAGAATTCAAGTTCATTGACGAGGTAGCGAAACTGTGGAACCTCAAGATACATGTGCAATCAACCCCTCCCTTGATCAGCTCGAACAGTTCAACCCCTATGCCCGACTGGATCACGGACAGGAATGAGAGCGCTGTCGAGACGCCGCCGTCATCTGTGTACACTGATACAACCGAGAACATCGACCCTTTACTACTCGCCTCTACCGCCACGCCAGATCAGACGACGATACATGATTTTATCGATGGGGATGATTTCATTGGTATCAATGAAGGGAAACGCCATCTGTTGGAAGTGGATTTTTCAGTCGAGGACGCGGCTGTGATTCAGAGTACGTGCCAATAGCTGATATCCAGAGTGATAACCTCTAATAGGAATATAGAACGCTTCGTTACGGAGGAGACTATTAGTGAAGGAAACTTCTCTAGTGTCACGGCTGCCATGCTTGTCGGCCGCTAGCGCTAGGGCCGCCGGGTATTGATTGGCACTACGCGTTAGTAAGGGGCATGCTCGCTATATAGGAGCGACCCCAGTGCCATCCTCGTCGGCTCTGCAGTCTTAGGATAGCACTCAACATGGGCTGAAGATCTCGCGCACTCGTCGCCTGCTTCCAACGTGACACGTGACAAAGTCTAAGAAGCAAAAGTTACAACGTGCTCTATAGACTCTCTATATACATTAACAATAAGATGCTTAAGAAACTAAAAGTCTTAACTATTATATAAAAGCGCTTAAGAAGACTCAAGATATAATAATTACTTAAAAGTGCAATGGCTCGAAACTAGAACAAGTCAATAGTCCATAGATTGCTAAAACGAAAGCTGAGGAATCTATATACAGTGTGCGAACGCACTGTCCACATATACACTAATCACGCCAAGACTGATCACATGATCCATGATACCCTCAACCACGCCGCAGGCAATCTCTATAGGCAAGCCGTAGGCACTTCCATCACACTACCCCCCCCTCCGAAATATCGATTGCCCCCAATCGATAGACAGTCAATCAGGAGTCTCACCACACACCCACATCACAGAACTCGCTCCTCTAATCCACAGCAGCATTCTCTTCCGTCAGCTCCACATTCGCTCTGAGCCCTCTACAAAATGCTTGATTCGCTCATGCTTCTTACAAACCCTTATTTGCTCACATAATTTCGCCCTGTTGCAAACCCTCAAGTGCTCATGCTAATTTTGTTCTTTTGCAATCTTGATCTCGTATGCTCTTTTGTAAATCCCTTATTTGCCTTCTGGCCCTTGCAAATCTGTGTAGAATCTGTCTCTGCCGATCTCGTATAGAATTGTGGAATCTGTAATGTCTGTCTGCAGCGCTATAGTACTTATGCTGCATAACGCTAAATCGCTCTGCTGTAGAGGTCTGTAGTAAAGAGTCTTTACTGAGTTACTCTGTCATAGTATTGCTTTACTATAGCACTATTCTGTCGTATTATAAAACTTATCTCTTCTACCTTTTATCATAATCTACTTAGCAGTATTCTCTTCTGTTAGATCTAATTTACTCTAAACCTGTTGAAGTTCTCACTCTGTGGTGTTG